GTCCGTCATCTCCATTCGCCCACATCACACGGACCTGCGTGCCGGGAGAAGGAGCAGGGAAGGTCCCCTTGGAGGCACCTACCTAGGCTGGCTGGCACTGCTGGGCAGGTTTCTCTTGGAGGGTCCCATCTCTCTGGAGTAGCTGCAGTGGAGTTGAGGGCAGGTTCTCCGGTGAGGTAGGAATGTGCAGGAACTCCGCCCTCTGGGCACAGTCACACGAACCCAGCAAAACAGCTACAGCCAGCCCTAAAACCTCTAATGATCTTCACCTTCACCTCTCTCTAACCCAGTTTCTCCACCACTTTTTGACCCATTTACCAAGGCACATTCACAACGGGGGGAAAAGAGAAGTGATCAAGGCAAGGACAACCCTACGCACAAATCTCACAAGAAGCTGCAACAGAAAGCAGTGCATGTACAGGGTTCTGTGTGCATGAGTGTACGTGTATACATGTATTTACATCCGTTGAATTCTGCAGCCATATAGTATATCTGTGCACATATATATATGTATAAAGATAGAGAGAGAGAGAGAGATTTCTTGGGCAGGCTTGTTACTCACAACTACACAATTAAGTGTATAGCAGCGAGTATACATTAGTAGACTATTTTTTCCCATCGTAGGGGAACATAGGAATGGTAAAAGAATATAATCACTAAAAATAACAGTGAGCCTTATTCCACACTCTTTCCCAAGCAAAACTCTGATGTGGTTCAGTCAAAACGTAACTGGAGTTCAGTGGGAGTTTTGCCTGAGCGAGTAGTGAATAACTGGGGTTTGAGACCTCATATTAACACAAGTGGTGAGGGGGTGTATACTTGAATCATAATTTCTGAGATAAATCTTAATAATCGTCAAGAGGAGTTATAAAGAGCAAAACGACGTCTCAGTAACGCTATTTTTTTTAAAGCAGCGCATTAAAAAATATCACTCCTCCAAACAGCATTTTGTGCCATTTAAGGCAAAATATATTATTATTCATTTTATTTTAAATCCTCCGGTAAGAAAGCATTCCACACAACGAGTATCGTCTTACTAAAACAAATGAAAAATATTTAAAATAGCTGCAAGAAAGAAGTTGTGTAAATGCCCGATTGTGGATTCGAGTTACATTTTATTACTGCTCACACATTTTTCGTRAGGTAAACTTAAAAATGGAATTGGAAATATCTCGATGAACAGATTTTTTTTTCTTCCATGATCTGTGCGAGCAAAGTTAATCAACTCAAATATCAACCAGGAAAATAACAACATCTTCTTCATTTCATAAAGACCACCCGCCCGCCCGAAACACTATAAATACTAGAGAAATGACACTCAAGTACCTTAACACGCTAAAAATATATAYTTAAAAATTCATTAAATTTCCTAAAAGCTTTGCTTGAGGATTGTACATAGAAAAACATCGTGGAATATAATTATTGCTCGACTGAAAAAAAAAATAAAAGGGGGCGAGGAAGAAAAAGAAAAGGAAAAGAAAAAGAAAATGAAAGAAAAAAACCCTTTACATTCTTTACCAAACTAACCCATGTAAAGACTAACCTAAAAGACATTCTCAGTGAACAAAAGGGGTTTCTCTGGCTGGGGAGCAGGCAGAGGTAAAGACACGTTTGAGGCCTTAGTCCTCTTACAATCCGTGACAACTTTAGCTTTTCTTTTTCCCATTTTTTTTCTCCCTAAAGACAGCCTCATTGTAGGTAATAAGCGCATGGAAATGTGAATCGCGAATAAATCAGCCGCTTAGCAGCCATCCCTTCCCCCAGGGCAAGGGGAAGAGGGAAAAGTTTGTGGCACCTGAACCGCTCAGGCAGCGCCTGGCTGCTCTGAGCCTAACGGGGAGCACTAGGAGCGAGCGCTCGCCTAAGCGCTGCCCGTTCCTCTGYAGAGCCGAGCACCAGGGCTACCCTTCTCAGGAGTTATTATGCATCACGCTTACCTAATTAATGCTTATTAGCCAAGGCAAAACTCTGACACGGCGAGATTGTGCTTTCCTCCAACCTGACTTCTCGTTTTCCTTCCTTAGTACACTGTGAGCGCTTTTATTTTTCTTTCCTAACATCGTGAGCTAAATAATACTTTAAATATGTGCTATTGGATTTCCCACACTATACAGCCAATTGCAAGYGGTAAATAATAAATTATTTCCTTTGTCAGCTGCAGCAGATGCCATACTTTTAATTTCCTGAGGTACAAGTGTACAGAGTGGGGACTCGACACTTTCCGAGGTTAAATCACACCTATTTTATTATTTCCGAAGGGCTTCTTTCGGTGGGGTTTTAGTTTCTAGTTCGTRCGATCACTTATTTTAAGGACAATGGAGCGGGGAGCCTGGGGGAGGGCGGCCGCTTCCAAGTGGTCCTATCATCTCCTCCTCTCTAAACAAAGCGACTTTTTCCTCTTTTTTTTTTTCTTTTTTTTTTTCTTCTCCAGAGTGATGATTAATTTCGAATTGCAGAAGTGAGAGTGAAAGCCAAGAATATCAGAGATTTCTCTCCTTCTCCCCCACGTACTGCAGAGCTGGGTGTCCCATCTCTCATCCATAACCTTTCACTCCTCTCTCTTCCCTGCAGATTTGCTTGCATCTGTTTATTTATTACTTATTTTCAGGAGATTTCTCTCCCTTCCCATATTTTTCTTTTTTCCCAGCATGATAAATATTCTGCTTTCAAGGATTCAGATTTGCTATTGCGCTTTTTTTTTTTTCCACCTACGGCATTATTGTTTTTTCTTTCTTTTTCTTCCTCTTTTCTGTCTTTCTAAGATCAGCTCTTTAAAGTGTTGGCGATAACATCTCCGGGCTGGAGATTATTTTTCATTGGGCCTATTGTGAGCAGTCGCCGGCTTATTGCATTGCTGCGGAGCGCAGTTCAGACCATACAAATGTAACAAATGAACAACTTGTCCTCTGCGGACTCACTGCGGGATCCAATTAGTTCCTAAATCTTTCGCACAAGTTTTCTAATTATTTTCAAGAGTTGTGGCTTTTATAAGGTTCCCTAAACTCATCAAGAAACTAATTCTTTTTAGGATTAAACGCTTCTTAAAATTAGGCGTCGCATTGCCCCCTTAAAGCTAATGGCTCCATTCGCCAGGCAACGAAAAATACTTACATACGTTTGTATAGGTTAGTGGCCTTCGGTACGTATCGCCATGGGAAAACAGAGCGGAAAAGAGAGTCAAGTCAAAACTTTAAATTTAAGTGCATCCCCGCATTCATATATATACTTTTTTTTTTCCTCGAAAACGTTTAAACACTGGTATGCAAGCCAGGGGGTCACGTGACTCCCCCCCCCCCCCCACCAAGGTCTATACTTCACTGTAATGTGCTGCCCCTACACTTCATCCCAGATATCCCAAATATCCCCCTTAGTCGTCCGGAGGGCTGGAGGGGAAGGGCTCTGACTGCGAACTACAGCTACTCCTACAACATTTAAAGCCAAAGTGTTTGCAGCATTAAAAGTATAGAGATATAGGTAATATAGCTACTTCCAGAACAGCGCTTCTTTAAGATAAGGATCATTTTTAATATACAGACGTATCATAGCCACCTAACCTTGATCAAGTAATTATACGAATGCAAATATGTATATACACACACATACATTTATAGCTGATATATCTTCAATTATCACACAGTCAAAATTAACTTATCTCAGAAGGAATTTTTTTTTGAATCAAAGATTGAAAGAGTAACGCGTATTTACATAATTATGTACATTCATCTCCTCTCATGTGTGTACATATACATACGCATATATATGTATGCACGCGATTTTAAGCATCTTTAATTTAAGACCCAGGTTTTAGTAAGACACCCTACCTCGTGCTAGCAGTTTTAAAGCAGACGTGAAGGAGCCTCCTGCTCCCAAACGGACACACAGCAGTGGCCGTGCCGTGCAGCTACATGCCCTGCGCCTATACATTCGGCACTATGCTCCTCAAATGCAATGTGGATTTAGGGGGGCGGGGAGGAGCGTGTGAAAAATGGTCATCTACTGTAATAAGTAGCGCTCAGATCTCCCTATAACTTTAAAGCCTCTGGCATATTAATTTTAGTTAATGAAAGAGACAAAAAAACTATCAAGTATATATGAATTTAGCCTATTTTTTTATTATTTCTGTGTGTTCATAGTAAACATTTTTGTAAGTGACAAACACGGGCATATGACCACAGTATCACAATCAAGAAATTTTAAGACGACATTAACAATCACTCAAATTTATGCGGCATCTGCGCAACACAGGTTACATATTTGCAAGGTTTACCTATAAGTACAATAGGTATTAACATTTCACTACATTTAGAAAAAAAATAAAGGTGACCTGTTAGTGACCACATACATCAAAATATACACAACACAAACTGAAGGCAATCATTAATTTTGTCCCCTTCTGATTCATTTGAACGGGCAGTGCTGCAAACTGAAATAATGTAGCTGTTCTTAAATTACTTCGTACACTGAGTGCATTTTCTAAAATCCAATCTTTGGTCTAAAAAAAGTAAACAAACCAATAAAAAAAAAAAAAAGTAAGAAAAAGAAACCCAGGAAAGCAGTTCATTAAAGAAAAGGACAAAATAATAAATGGCCAAAACGTAGTACTTGGGCTTTTTTCTTTTTTTTCTTTTTTAATATTACTTCTGCTTAAATACAAATTACATTTTAAGCTTTTAATATTTTTCATAAATTTAGTGGTTTCTTTTCAATATCTGCACCCACCGACATATCCATGATAACTTATAATACTGCAAACATGGAGAATCTGGCGGCTTTAAGTGATGGACTTATCATATTTGAATAAAACTTGCAAAAGCAGTCACTATTTAGATACACATTCTACTATAATTTTGACTTCCAAACTTCGTAGTCTACAATGTAATCTCCCCACATTGCACCTTGCTGACACTCCTCACCTTGGTGGAATAATAAACAACCCTAAAGACTTGAACAAACGTACAGAAAATGGGGGACTTAATAAAAAATACCTGGACTTATTTTTTTTTGTTTTGCTTTTTCTTTTTTTTTCTCCTTTTAATTATCATTTACAATGCAAATGTGTGTAAAATGTTCACTTACAGTCTGATCCCAYGGATGTTAATGTATTAAAGGGTTTGAAGAAGACCCCTGATTTTGATGTGTGAAATAATCGGAAAGTCCTCCGGAAAGTCCCGTTGTGAAACTTGGCAGGGAAGGTCTTAGGGACTCACAGGGGAGAGTGGAGGGCGCCTGCGGCGACGTGGACGAGGAGGCTGCCCTGGCCGTCATTGAAGTGCTGCTTTGAGAAGTCATTGAAGGGTGAGGGACGTGGGGGAAAAAGTAACTCGTCTGTCCTGCCAGGAGGTTTACAGAGCAGGGGTTTAGGGAATAGGTGCCGGAGCAGGGAACTGACAGGCCACACGGCACCGAGGCGGCCAGAGCGGCTGCTGTGAGGTGATGAGTGGCATAAGGTATCTCTCCATTGACTAGTCTATCAACACTTAACCCATTAGACGTGGAAAAGGAGTGGTTGTTCCCCAAGGAGTTCTGAGTCAACACGGAGCTGTAGGGCATGGGGTGGCTGGGGTAGGCGGACGTGGTCCCGTTGTAACTCAAAGTGCTGCTGGCCCGCGGGTGGTGCAGGGAGAGGAAGGGGGACATGGGCCAGTACAAGGATCCCGCCCTGTCCATGAACGTGAGGCCGGTGGAGGTGAGGCGGGCGCCGCGCTTGAAGGCCAGCTTGGCCCGCGACGTCGTGGAGCGGCGGCGCAGCTTGCCCGTGGTGCCGCCGATGAAGACGTCGTCGCTGGACGGGTCCAGCATCCAGTAGTTGCCCTTGCCCGGGTCGTCGTAGTGGCGGGGCACCTTGACGAAGCACTTATTGAGCGAGAGGTTGTGGCGGATGGAGTTCTGCCAGCCCTGCTTGTTCTCCCGGTAGTAGGGGAAGTTCTTCATGATGAACTCGTAGATGCCGTTGAGCGTGAGGCGCTTCTCGGGGCTCTGCCGGATGGCCATCATGATGAGCGCGTTGTAGCTGAACGGCGGCTTCTCGTACTTGCCGTTCTTCTTCTCGCCCTCCTTGGCGCCCTCGCCCTCCTTGGCGCCCTCCGCCTTCTTCTCCTCGGCCGCCTTCTCCTTCTCGTCGAGCTCGGCCGCGGCGGCGCCCGCCTCGCCCTTGCCCGCCAGCATCTCCGCCTTGGGCACGTCCAGGGCGCCCGAGCTGCCGGCGGCGGCCGCGGGGGGCGGCAGCAGCAGCGGCCCCTTCTCCTCCTCCTCCTCCTCGGCCGGCGCCGCTCGCTGCGGCTGCGGCGGCGGCGGCTGCTGCGGGTGGTGGTGGTGGTGGTGGTGGTGATGGTGGTGGTGCGGGTGGTGGCTGTTGTGGTGGCCGTGGCTGTTGTGGTTGTTGTCGCTCTGCACGGCTTCGGGCACGAGGCTGTTTATGCTGAAGGAGGATTTCGGCAGCATTTTCACTTCCTTCCTATCTCCCATGTCCAACATCACACACTGGTCGGCGGGGGAAAGTTGCGGCCGGGGCAGCAGCGGCGGCGGCGGCGGCGCGGGCAGAGGCGGCACCGGCGGCGGCAGCGCAGTGGGAGCGCAGTGTCGGGCGCCGGAGAGTCATGTAGCAAGGACGGGCACCGCCGGGGAGGGGAGGGAAAAACGGCAACAGCCGGGATAACCGCCGGTCACAGCAAATCAAACCGAGGCACAGCGGAGGAGAGGAAAAT